ATGTAGTTTTTTGGGGGGTTGATGTGTTCATCACCACATGTATTATTAAAAGGGTTACATGTTTATGAATGACCCCCTGTTTTGTATATATGTTATTCGTCATTTACAAAATAAATGACATTTATTCATTCTAACACAATTGTTCCTATTTCGCCTGCCCTGTGCAAAAAACGAGCTCAGTCTCCCTGGCTAGGTTACACAAACTAAGGAACATAAATTAGTGATTATCATAAATAATAACTTTTATGTGACATGTGCAGTGTTTATTTAGTTTTCACTTATTTTACCCATATCCATCTTACGGGTATAAACGTCTTGTGGCCTAGTTTTAACCTAACCCAAAATTTTGCCTTTTAGCCAATCATAATTCAGCAATCTGCCATGCTGCATTCATTGAATTTTGATAGAAGCCACACAATTTGGTGCAGTGAAATTTGTACCCACCTTCCACCCCTTCTACCCCCTCTAAGATAGCAGGTCTTGTTTTAGTGCTTACTCACTGGGCCTAAGTTTTGTACCTACCACCTTTTTTGTGGGCAGGCAGTTTATTGATATTCCTATTTTTTACATATGTGTTTACAGTAGGGGGCATGTAGGTATTTTTGGTACTCATGTGTCATGAGGCCCCCTATCTGTTGATTTGTGTAAATATCTTTTTCATATGTAGTATTTTTAGGGGGTCATGATGTGTTCATCACCACATGTATTATTAAAAGGGTTACATGTTTATGAATGACCCCCTGTTTTGTATATATGTTATTCGTCATTTACAAAATAAATGACATTTATTCATTCTAACACAATTGTTCTTATTTCGCCTGCCCTGTGCAAAAAACGAGCTCAGTCTCCCTGGCTAGGTTACACAAACTAAGGAACATAAATTAAGTTATAAATCATTCTTAAAATATATTTTGTTGTCACATTACACAATTTTTGCATTATAAGAATGTGACCTTAATTTGTGCGAAAAACCATGTGAGTTTAAAAGGTTTGTTGAGCTGTACAGGTAAATACTTGGCAGCGATTCAAGTTTGTTTAGGGCCGTGTGCAAAAAAAAAAATATGCTTACCTATGCATTGTGACGTCATCCACTGTATAAATACGGTTTTTCTCCAACTTTCTGCTCATTTTACCCTCAGAGCCATCAGCTGATAGACATGGATTCTACTAGAAAAACAGGTACAGGCTTGACGAATATTGAAACGAAAAAGTACCTGAGAAATAGATTTACCACCTAAACCCATTTCTGAGTATTATCACATGAGACTAGCTGAAAAAAGGACCCTCTCCAAAATTTAAAGCGCATGAAAATAGATATGTCGTTCATTTCGATGAATTTCCAGAAGAAGAAGAAAACACAGCTTTCCTTCGGCGATTATTCACAAACATGTTACAAGACTTCAAATCTAAAATGCAGTGTGATCCTAACGATTACCTCCGCCTGAACCTTCATCACGATTCTCTGGAATCAGACATTTCTTACAGGTTTATGCAATGTAAAGATTTAAACGAAGACGTCATTTTAAAAGAAATACAACGTGTGCAACAATCCAAAAAGGAGTTCGAACTCGGCGACGGCTCCACGGAATTCGATCTGTTACACATCGAGAATCCCCAGGGGAGTGGTGGAAACAGAAACAAACATCTACAACTGGATAAAGAAACTTTCAAGAAAAATAAACGAGCCATCGTTCGGATCGTCAATCCCCATGATAAATTTTGTTTTGGCTAGAGCCATCGTCGTCACTCGATTACACAGTCAGAAACCCGATCATCCAGACCCGGAATGGGAAAAACGATGGGTCCGTATGAGATTAGGAGATAGGCAATCCTTAGATCAGAAGAACGAAGCCATAGCCCTCATGGAACAAGCCGGATGTGATATCACTCAAGCTTGTGGAAATACAGAGTGGCCGAAATTACAACAGGTATTAGCTCCACAGTATCGTCTGAAAATATTTCAGTTCAAATCTACTTCCACTAAACTCTGTTTTGAGCGCATCTTCAAAGGGTGGGGAGATGGAACTTGTTTGAACATTTTGTTAGACAACCGTCATTGCGATGCCATCATATCGATGGCCGGAGTAACGGGGAACCCCTACTACTGTGATCATTGCGACGTGGGGTACAGTCATGTCACAGACCATCGCTCCAAATGTCCTCATCGCTGTACCTTTTGTTTAGGACATAACCATAATTGTCCCGATGAAGGGATCAAGATTAAATGCCAGGAATGCCATGGAATGTTTAAGAACAGGACCTGCTACGAAGATCATTTAAAACCCCATGGTAAGAAGACCACCACCACTACTGTCTGCAATTTAATGGGGTTATGCGAGAAGTGTCAGTCCTGGATACCTAAGAAATTATTTCCTCATCACAAATGCGGAGATCAGAAACTGTGTAAGATCTGTAAGAAAATCGTCGATGCCGATCATCGGTGCTACGTTCGACAGAAGCCCAAGAAGAAGAAGAAGGGAAAAGGCACCTTAGAATTTTACATTTATTTCGATTTCGAATGCACTCAGGAATCGGGCATTCACGTCCCTAATCTGTGTGTCACATCCCGTCTGTCAACATTACGATGACTTACCCATAGACCAACCTTGTCCTCATTGTCAACACATGGGACCCCGTCAGCACCTATTTCAAGGACCAGACACCTTAAAGAAGTTCATGGACTGGTTATTTCAACCCACTACAGGTACTAAGAATTCCACTTTAGTACACGACGGGGCCATCGCCCATAACTTCAAAGGATACGACGGACAATTCATTTTGAATTACATAGTGCATTCTGCTTCCCTGAAACCTAACGTGATCATGGAACGGGTGTAAGATCTTGTCCATGGAAATATGTGGACTGAAATTCATCGACTCGTATAGTTTCTTACCGTTTCCTTTGGCCCAGATGCCCTCCGCTTTCGGATTGACCGACCTCAAGAAAGGTTATTTCCCTCAATTTTTTAATACGGAACAGAACCAGAATTACGTGGGACCTTATCCACCGGCAGCTTTCTACAAACCGGACGAAATGTCTACCAGTGGACGAGAGGCTTTTTACCAATGGTACGACCAACAGAGGGGAAAAGTGTTTGATTTCCAGAAAGAGTTTGTAGGGTATTGTATCTTGGACGTCGACATTTTTAAGACGATGCTGTGCACGGTTTAGAAGCACCCTCAGGGGGTTGGTCAACGTGGACCCTTTCCAGGAATCCATCACGTTTGCCAGTGCTGCTAATTTAGCCTACCGTCGAAATTTCATGCCTAAAGACACCATTGCCATCATTCCGAACCTCGGGTATGAACCGGCACGACAATATTCGGCCAAGGCCTGTCGGTGGCTCACCTGGATGAGTCATCAGAGTGGATGTCACATACGACATGCCAGAAACGGAGGCGAAGTCCCGATCGGAAATTATACCGTCGACGGATACCAGGAAGCGACTCGTACCGTCTACGAATTTTACGGGTGTTATTGGCACGGATGCCCCACTTGCTATCCCAGTTTACAGACGGAAACTCATCCTCACCGGACCCAATTTACTTACCAACAATTACACGAGAAAACCCTCAGAAGGACTGTGGATTTAGAGGACATGGGGTACAACGTGTGTAGTATCTGGGAGCACGATTTCGATCAACAAGTGCAACAAGATGAGACTTAACAGCAATTTGTACGAGATCTGGACATTCCGGATCCATTGAAACCTCGAGAAGCCCTGTACGGAGGCCGAACCAATGCCACTAAATTATATTGTGAAGAAGGGGACATGAGATACGTGGACGTGTGTTCCTTATACCCTTTGGTGTTGAAACACAGACCATTTCCCCTAGGGCATCCCGAGATCATCACAGACGACTTCCAGGACGTGAGAAGTTATTTCGGTCTCATTCACTGTCGGGTCTTACCACCCCGAGGCCTCTTTCACCCCGTATTACCTTATCGGACGGGAGGTAAGTTATTATTTCCCTAATGTCGCACGTGTGCCGAACAACAGGACTCTACTTCTCAAGATCCATGTCAACACACCGACCGGGAACGTAGTCTCACGGGTACTTGGGTGACGAGCGAATTACGTAAAGCCTAGACATGGGCTATACCTTAGAGCAAATTTACAAGAAGTGTGGCATTTCAAAGAAAGCAGTCAAGACTTATTTAAAAACTACATCGATACACTTCCTCAAGATCAAACAGGAAGCGTCCGGATTTCCCCGAGTGTAAGACCTCAGAACAAGAACGAGATTACATATATCAAATCTTCGACAAAGAAGGATTCATGATGGATAGGATCAGTATCAAGAAGAATCCAGTGAGAAGAACCATTGCTAAACTCTTTTTAAATTGTCTGTGGGGAAAATTTGCTCAACGCTTGTTATTACCCAAAGTCAGATACTTGGACGAAGTAGAGGAATTATCAACTCTTACAAAATTCGACTCTCGACATCAAGGGTGTGCGACTCTTACAACAATAAAGAGAAGCCCGATGAAGACGATTCTAGTGAATTTTCAACAAAAACAGGAATTCGTCGAAGAATGTCCCTTTGGAAACGTGATCCTGGCTTGTTTTACCACCGCCTATGCCCGCTTACATCTCTACGAGACTTTACGACCTTTAGAAGAACGGGCCTTTATTTCGATACGGACAGTATCATTTACCAACATAAGGAAGGAGCTTTAATCCTACCTTGGGCATAGTTTAGGAGAATGGACCGACGAATTAGACGGGGATCACATCACAAATTCATGTCGGCAGGTCCTAAAAATTATGCTTTCCGGACGGACAAAGAACCGAGGTTTAGAATGCAAAGGAGTCACTTCAACCATCGAACCTCTCAGTTGGTGTGCCCAGAGACTTTAGAAAAAATGCTCAAGGGAGAAATAGAGGAATAAAAGTCCCTATCCCAGCAAAATCCAGAGGACCCGGGATTATGAGGTCGTGAACAAACCTTCAGAGAAAACAGTTAGAATTGTATATGACAAGAGACAAATTGTAGAGAATTATAACACTTTACCTTATGGTTATTGATATGTTTGTTTGCTTTGTTTGTTTTACAAATAAAAAATTGAATTGATGTGTTGTTTTTTTTTTC